CTGCCCAGCAACTAGTTACGTTTTTGGCTCCTGCTTGTCATTGGGCAGATTACGAGGAGCCGCGCCAGCTGCAGGAAATTAACTCACTGTGGGGAGTTTACAATTAAGTTACAGAATAGGGCTTCAGCAGCAGCGGGGAATAAAAAGACAAGAGGTGGGGAGAGGCGAAGCCTCCATTTCCTCCTACATCCTTCCCACGGAATGGGCTAAAAAAAAACCGGGTATTTTATTTCCTGCGCATGCGCCTGCTCCGAGCCCCCTCTTTCCGCCGTAGCTGCGGAGCGCGTGCGCGGTAGCGCTGCGGGCCGTTTAACGGCCGTGCGCGGCTGCGGGTGACGCAGAACGAGAGGTTGGCGTTCGGGGGTTGGGTGTCGGTTGGGTGCTGTGGTTCCGTGTCTCCCTGTTCTCACACTTCGCTGTTTTGAAGTTGGCCACAAATGCCTTGAATTTCACAGTGTCAGTTGGGGTGTTTAGCTGGAGCGTTTTCTGTCAGTGTCAGCATGATAAATACCTAGCTTGCAAGGCCAATGTATCCACAGTGCAGGTTGGGTAAAGTGATAAAGTTGCTTTCTTCTATTATTTGCTTTTCTTCATTTTCAGATAATGTTACCAAAATGTCCCTTGACTGCTCTTCAACTGTTTCTCCTCTTATCATTCTTGATCTCTGATTTCCTGTCTTCCTTAAGCAGCTCAAACCAAGTTTACTATTTTTTGTGTTAGAGCTGAAAAGCTGAATGTGAAGCTTCATCTTTGCACCTTCCAATCTCTTTGACAGGGCTTGTGCTTTTAGATAGCTTGTTTTCCATAGCAACCAAGCATATTTTTGCTCAGTGTATAGATTTTACTTGGCTACATTCTAGGATGTTTGCTGCAGAACAAAGTATTTTATTTGCTTACTGTAAAAAGAAGCAAATAGTGTTGGGAAGAAGAGAATGTCAATACTTCACTGGTATTTTAGCTTTAGATTGATGTTTCAAAGAGTAGAGTTGCTTGAAAATAGTTTTCCAGATTTTTGCCTCAAGTCGTTGCCTTTTTAGAAGGCAAATTGTGTGGTCTTTTCTAATATGAATTACCCCTTTTGCATATTTGGGACTATGTGATCTAGCTGTCTGACATCTAGTCAGACAAGCAAATAACATAAAAATAATAAGTATCTGTTGGAAAACGAAATGAATCTTTTGTACGCAATTGAGCTTTTTTTCCTTTTTGTAATAAGTTATGAAAGAGGAATTCTTAGGCCTATGGTGCAGTGTGCATTTCCTCATTGATGGTGGTCTCTAGTGCAACGTAGTAAGGGAATCATTATTATGGGATCTTTTAAGAGAAAAACAAATATTAACCTTCAGTCTGATTATCACTTTCACAGTTCTCCATCACATAAAGCAGCGGTTGAGTTGCTGTTCTTTTTCTCTCATCACTTGCATCCAAATAGTACATCTCCTTATCTCCTTTTTTTTAGATTTCCATATTATTCTCTGAGAAATTAACTTGTCTCTCTGTTGTTACATTTTTGCAGTCTTTGCATTATCTTTTGTCTATTTGTAATTTCGTACCAGTTTACTGACAGGTTTGTATATGCAGACTTTGAGGTTCCATAATGACGTACTTGAGATTTATTGACCATGGCTGTAGTGTGGCTTCAG